ATTACAGTATCACCACTAATCTGAGACCGAGGGTCAGAACTGAGGCAAGGTAACTTATTTCAAACAAGTAAAAGTTTTGATACCTAGGTAATACTATGGGTACTGTCCATCTGATCCTATAGATTAGCATTAGTCAAGCCCTCCAGTGAATGCTACCTAACTGTTGTATGCTCATTGTGACTTTGTCCATGAATGTGTTTTGTTCCTGGTCCTCCTTCAAGCCAGTAGAGAATAGTTTGGTGAGGCTAAAAAAAGTTTATATTTAGGCTGTTTACTTGTAGCTACATCAAGTCTTGTTTTGCCACTGGTTGTTTTTGTTTTAAAGTTCTTTGTGCAAAACCCATGTTCTACCATTGCGGCATTACAGGACAATTTTTAATAATACTTCCCCCAAGAACAATATACCCTTAAAAGCAGGTGACCTGCTGGTTAAACACTTTGTTAAATATGCATGTTCATGATCATTTATATGGGATTTGGTGGTATTTAAACACAATTTTAAAGGCAACCGCTGGAAGAGGGCATTGGTCTAGAAGATTGTCTATTGTATACTTTCATAATGGCACGGTGCTTTTTTTTTTATCACTAGGACTCTGTGTGGTCAAAATATTGAAATCTGGTGAATGTGCATTCATATTTTAAATAACACTTTGAGCACATGGATCTGATTTTTCTGCAGCTTTTCTTTTAAAGACTCAGAAGCATTTGCCATCCCTACAGATAAGGTTTTGGACCGAAGGGCTAGGATTGCCTTTCATTGCTGTGAGTTCCGACATACCGCTTTCTAGATTTGCTAAAACTTCATACAAGAAAGAGATCCTCTCCTTGAAGAGTAAGAAAAACTTCAGGCACAATGTAGGCTGCATCCATCATGGAAAACAATGTGCGCACAAATTTGCCTATCTTGATCTCCTTAAGATGCCCTTAAGTAAGGTTACTTCAGCCCCTTAGCTTAGTTTCTGCAATATGTAGCAAAGTGGGTGACTGTTAAATGATCCTTTTTGATCACTGGCTTCAGTGCTCTGGCCAAATCAAAGTACATGGTGAATATGTCCAAAATAGTGCACAAAAGAAATCCAAACTTTATAGAATAAGGAGGATCTTTTTTGAGATCCAGAATAGCAAGTCAGTATTGTGGATGATGTACTTTACAACAGCCAGCCAAGGAGTATTGTGCCTAAATAGTAATTAAGTAATTAAGGAAATCATCTGCAAACACTTGGAAGGTGGTAAGGTGATAGGGAACAGCCAGCATGGATTTGTAAAGAACAAATCGTGTCAAACCAATCTGATAGCTTTCTTCGATAGGATAACGAGTCTTGTGGATAAGGGAGGAGCTGTGGATGTGGTATACGTAGACTTTAGTAAGGCATTTGATACGGTCTCGCATGATATTCTTATCGATAAGCTAGGCAAATACAATTTAGATGGGGCTACTGTAAGGTGGGTGCATAACTGGCTGGATAACCGTACTCAGAGAGTTGTTATTAATGGTTCCCAATCCTGCTGGAAAGGCATAACAAGTGGGGTTCCGCAGGGGTCTGTTTTGGGAACGGCTCTGTTCAATATCTTCATCAACGACTTAGATATTGGCATAGAAAGTACGCTTATTAAGTTTGCGGATGATACCAAACTGGGAGGGATTGCAACTGCTTTGGAGGACAGGGTCAT